GCTGCCGGTGAAGCGGCAGAAGAGCTGGGACTTAGTGCACAGTGTGTCCTCCTTCTCCCTGAAGGGCGCAGAAGACACGTTCCCTCGCATTGCTGAGAATCAGGGAGAAGACACACTGCCCAGCACCCCTCGCCTCCTCGGTCCTGAGGCCCGTCGGGCTCTGTGGTGTACCGTCTGTCTGCCTGGAGCGTGAGCACCACTGTTTCCCCCAGTACAAGCTCTGTGGGTCCTCCCACCCTTTCCCACTCCGGCATCCTATGTACCTCCGCTGACCTCAGCACCCAGCAGACGGCGAGTGAACGCCACGGAGTCAGGCCCAGGAAATGTGGAATTCTAGAACTGATGAGCAGAGACTTCTAAATACCATCATCCTTCTCTGGTATTGAGATGGGTCTTCGTGAAGAAAGAGGTTGGGTTTTATCACAAGACTTAGAGTCCTCTTCCCCTGGATTCCCAGGGAGCCGTCCCAGTCATTTACTCTGTACACGTGCGAGGCGGCATGCTGCAAGCCAGGCCCTGTTCGGCCGCTCACACCACCAGGCCGAGACACTGTGGGCCCCGCCTCCAAGGAGACCTGTTTGGGCTGCCTCATCGCCTAGGTCCTCGACCCCAGTCCCCTAGCTCTTTAACAAGAGAAAGATGTTTTAAGCAGGTCTTCCATGGACCCTTTGTGTGTATGCATGCATGCACACATGTAGGCATGTGGATATGTGTAAGAGAGGGGGGTTCCTTAGAGCAAATATGATTGGGTCTCCAAAAAAATTTGTGCAAAATCCACGCATAATGATGAAGAAACTATGGATGGGTTTCAAAATATTTTGCAGCAAAGTAAACTCCATTTTAATTCCATTTTCTATTAACTTTCTGAAGTCTTCTCACATGTCTAACTAGAACTCATGCTCTACACACCATGGAGGAAAAGGAAGCCTAGCTATCTACCTTTCAGTGACGATGGGGCCTAGAGGCCTCTGCCAAGCTCAGTTACCCTCCAGCACACAATGGGCACAGGAGGCAGCCACCCCTGTCCCACATGCCACATGTGCAGAACCATCAGTCCCCGAGAGGAAACCATCTGCTCATGTATGGAAAAACAATTCACCTACCTTTGGGTTGAACAGATGGATTCAGTCAAGATAGTCAATCATAAGGTGTGGGATTGCTTCTGGCAGAAAGCTTGGGAAACCAAAGACACACATCCATCAGAGCTGGAGACGAAGGTCCCAGATGCTGCAGAGAGAGTCTTCCTGCATTCACAGCCCAAAGATCAACACGCCATCAGCAAGAAGAAAATCTGAAGTTGCTCTCTGTCGCTGTTGGTACAGCCAAATCCAGCTGCTGGTACATGAACTGCAAAGTTGGCCATGTGGGACCAGCCACCTTTGTGGTTCATGTCCTGGCATGGAGCGGGTCCTGTGGCAGAGCTGAGCAGCACCTGTGGCTCAACACTAATCCCTAACTATTCTGTTGCACGTCATTATCTTCACCAACCCACTGAGAGACAAAGCACCAAACAAAAACATGTACTTATGCAACAAGAAAAGGTGTGATATGGTCGTTCTTTGAGACCAAAAGAGGAGATACTCCTTTGATTTGGAAGGTTTCTCCTTCAACTCGAAAGTGTCCTGGAGGAATTTTTCTGATAAACCTACTGTTCTACTTGTGGACACCAGTTTATTTTCCCTTGGAGAAAAAAACCTGAGGACAAGGCTGTGCTTAACAGAACTAGACTAAGTACAGTAGACTAAGGACACTGGACTAACTACATTAGACTAACTACACTAGACTAACTACACTGGACTAGCTACACTGGACTAAGTATACTGGACTAACTATACTGGACTAACTACACTGGACTAACTACACTGGACTAAGTACAGTAGACTAACTACACTGGACTAACTACACTGGATTAAGTACACTGGACTAACTACACTGGACTAAGTACACTGGACTAACTACACTGGACTAACTACACTAGACTAACTACATTGGACTAACTACACTGGACTAACTACACTGGACTAAGTACACTAAACTAAGTACACTGGACTAACTACACTGGACTAACTACACTGGACTAAGTACACTAAACTAAGTACACTGGACTAACTACACTGGACTAAGTACACTGGACTAACTACACTGGACTAACTACACTGGACTAACTACACTAGACTAACTACACTGGACTAACTACACTGGACTAACTACACTGGACTAACTACACTGGACTAAGTACACTAAACTAAGTACACTGGACTAAGTACACTAGACTAATTACATTGTACTAACTATACTAGACTAGCTACACTGGACTAACTACACTAGACTAAGTACAGTAGACTAACTACACTGGACTAACTACACTAAACTAAGTACAGTAGACTAACTACATTGTACTAACTAGACTAGACTAGCTACACTGGACTAACTACACTAGACTAACTACAGTAGACTAACTACACTAGACTAGCTACACTGAACTAACTACACTGGACTACCTACACTTGGCTAAGTACACTAGACTACAGCAGACTAAGTACACTAGACTAGCTACACTGGACTAGCTACACTGGACTACCTATACTGGACTAAGTACACTGGACTAACTACACTGGACTACCTACACTAGACTAACTACACTGGACTAACTACATTGGACTAACTACACTAGACTAACTACAGTAGACTACACTAGACTAACTAGAGAACTCAACACAAGGAGCCTTCAAATTAGTTCAATGTGTTCCCAAGAGCAGTGGATCTACCCAAGTGGTATGAAGATGAGGTCTTTAAAGAGTTCAAAGAAAATGCATATTATAAAGACAAGATGCATGGATCTCAAAAAAATTTTAAACTAAAATAGAATAATTCTATTTTTCCATAAGCTTTTTAAAGCCCTCTACCATTTTTAAGTGGTACGTGGATAAGCAACTTTTAATAGCTTTATTATACTTTAACGCATAGCAGTGAGCAAATTAAACTTGAGATTTCACAGATATTATTTATTAGAGTAATACCACTTTTTAAAGACAGAGCTGACTCAAAGAACGGTGTTAAGGAAATAATATATCCACATATGGCAGGTTGACACGTATGACTAAAAGCATTAAGATAGTTCTCAAAGGATTGGAGTTTGGAAATAATGAATTATTTTACTAATATTACAGTTTAATGAGTTGGGGGGAGTATGAGAAGTTGTCAATGAATGCATGTTTCTTTCTATATTCCATATTCCTTCCACATCCACATTCTACTCTTTCTCCCGATGCATTGTGCCCTCCACTGACTTCAAGTGGCTTTATAAACAATTCTACAAAGAAGAAGATTATGTTAGGGGCAGCTGGTATCCTGGTGGGTAAGGTGGCTGGTTCCACATAGCCACCTTTCCAGTTCACGTCCCAGACCTGGCAGCTGAAAAACACGCTAGGCACATACTTATATTGCATACTCAAAATCCCAAGAGGAAATGGAGGAGTCGGGATTGAGGCCTGACTACCCCCACCCCACCCAGGGAGTACTTTCTCACTTCCTCTCTTCAGTGAGCACATGTATCCTACAGAAATTCTTTTTTTAAAAAAGGAAAGATTATGTTGGACTATAAAGTCAGTCTACTTATTTTTGTGAAGAGTCCATGAATCTTCATAAGGAAATATAATTTTGATTTAAGGATGTTTTCTCTGCTAATGAATAATAGTAAATATCCAAGAAACACCAAGTCTGAGGGGGAAAGTTTTGGGTTATTGCACTGTGGATAGTGCCCTCATGTGGCTTGAAAATTTAGCTATATTTAACAGGCTTAAACCCATTTTTAACTATCAAACTATAAAATGTGGCAGATAATGACAAACAAGACATGAGTGAGTAGGAAACAGCACAAGGAAACGTATTCATCGGCCATCATAGAATCCTTCTGTTGAGTGGACTAAGACACCAATATGGCAGACAGGGCATCTGGTAAACTAGCTGGGAGAAATCAGAGGCCTAATTCATACAGGGTATTGCTTGTGGTGGTTTGGTTAAAATGTTAACAAGTCACACAAGACATTTTCATTTGAAGTTTTATTTTTATCAAAACAAAATAATTTAACCATATAAAGAAGGAGATAAGGTTCAACAAACAACCAAGAAGCCAGTCTCTTCCCTGATTACGAACACTCGAAAAAAGTGGTAAGTCCTAGACAGTCGAATGCACATGGAAGATGGTGAGTCATCCTCCAGGGCTCTGAGTGGCACAGGCTCGTGGCTTCCCAGCTCTCTCTCCCAGGGGTACTCAGTGCACCGAGACTTCTCCCAGCAGAATTATGCCTATTCCCACGTAAGTACCAAGCATGGGCGCAATGAACTATGCAGGCCGAGACCCAGCACACAAGACTTTCCAGGTCCTGACCTCTATTTTCAATGAGTCCTGAAAGCCAAGGGTGAGAAATTGTGCTTAAATATCCAGATGTAGTGTTTCAAAAGCCAAAGGGTCTCCCTCACATGAATTTGGGGAATAACAACTGAAGAGAAGAAAAGTCCACAAGCCCTCCTTTGCTGTAAAGGTAGAAATACGCTCGCCCACAGCGTCGGGCAGGTCCTTTCCTCTCTCCGTATTAAGTGATGTCTGGGGAATTGAGCAGCAGCACATTCCGGTAATGATGACAGCTTCCATAACTATAAAACTCTGCTGCACCAGGCAAATTTGTGCAAAATGCAAATTTCTATGCTAGAGGAAAAAAAGGAATAATGTGGTCATTCTAAGTAATGAATGTAAATGCAAGGGAATACTTCTTGGCATGAGACTGCAAATCGTTTCTCTTTCATGCCAAGGACTGTGTCACAAAGCACTTTCGCAAGGTTCTTCTTCCAATCTTGGTTTTGAAAGGGGGATTTTAGAAAGGAGAATCTAAATTGCTCTTGGCCACCCAGTGCATCATCACAAATGTTTCCATTGGAATTTAGAGACACCCTCTCCCATCTTTTTTTTTTTTTTTTTTTTTTTTTTTTTTTTTTTTTTTTTTTTTTTTTTTTTCCTTGACATGAGCCCCAGGCTCTCCTGGTCCTTGCCAGGTATCGACCTACGGGAGTAAGCTTCATCCAGAACCTCAAGGGTAACACTTGACAGGGCGCAGGGAGGGGGTGAGCTGTTCCTCATCGCGCCTTGCCCAAGGAGGATTCAGGTTGTCATCATAAACCATGTGACTTGAAGAGTCTGTTGACAGTGTAGACTGCCACAGGAGGGTGAAGCCTCCTTCCTCCACACGTCACCTGGACGGCTGGAGAAGCGATCCTGGTGGTGAGGTCTGAGCAGCACGAGCCATAACTGTGCGCACTTTGCCCTGAGAGCACAGCGAGGGGGTCGAGGCGTCCTTCCCCCAGTCCCTGCCAGCATCCCCAGAGCTATTTTCTGTGGAAGAAACTGAGGCACCGATTGGTGAAGATCCTTACCTGAAGGTGCAATAGAATATCAGCACTAGGGGGGGACGGAAATCCCTGATCTTTAAGTCCATTTGCTTCACTCCGTAATAAAGGTGCTGTCCCTTACCACACGCAGTGCACACTTGTAAAGTGCAACATGGCCGTAGTTATCAAGTGCTGATACTAAAGGTGATTTTCAGTAACCCAGACTGGGTTACAGACCCTTAAAAGATAGTCCTGTGATTGCATTTCGCTTTGAGAAAACCCATGGAAAAATTAAGACGCATAAATCAGAGATTGTTTGTTGACTTACAAAAGGACTCTTTCTTACAAAAAACCTTAGGATGCTTTTCAATAGCCAGCTCCCCGCAGGTCATTCAAAATCATTCTGAATTTTAAAAATCCATTGAAATACAGCTTTTCACAAACTCAAGTTGACATTAAGTTAGGTGTACTTGTAAACATCGCTCCCCACCGCTAAAGGGCTAGCCCCCGCAAGGTGACTTGGTGACTGGCTCCACTTTGTAAGAGACCCAGGGAGTTAAAGAGCAGGGGCCAGCATTCCGCTGGATTTGAGCCGGGGGACGATGGGTCAGAGCCTCGCCTGCGTCCCAGGTCAGCGCCATTGGAGGAATGACTTGCAAATTCAGGTCCAGTGGCCCACTACCGCCTCAGCAGCTGCCCGGAAAGAAGGCTCCATCTGGAAGGCAGTTTTCTCCCCACAAACAGTGCGTCCCAGTTTAGTTCTAAGCTAAGCTTCCTTCCGCTCAAACAGCAATGCTCTCTTTCTGCTTTTTGTTTTACAGTTTAAGCCAACATTTATAAACCGGGTGATTACACCCAAAAATCTGGAACTCAGGAAAAAAAAAAAAATACTAGGAATTTCCCTGAGCTCGCGCACGTCACAGCCATGACTAGAGGAGACTGCTTCAGCGCCTCGTGGCCCGCGGCCTCTTGCTTGCAGGACCGCAGGTGCAGCGGCAGCCTGGGGGGTGACTTCCAGCCGCCAAGCCCACGGCTGCAGGGAGGGCACTTCTCCATCACCCATTTGCAAGGGCTGGAACCTGGAGACACACTCAGCTCGATTGGGAAACAGGTAACAGGGCGTCTTCAAGACTCCCCCGCTGAAATCCAAGCTGGGGCCTCCACCTCTCTTCTTCCAGGGCCCGGCCACTTTCCTGACCCTGCCTCTCTCATAACAGTGGCAGGGGCAATTCGAAAGTTTTGGTAGTCACCATCTCACTGGTCTACGAAGGGCATTAAGCGAGGTCCTGACGTCTTTCTCGGCTGGGCCGGCCACCGCTGGGTTATCTCTGAGCACACAGAGAAGGGCCACAGAGGCGTGCCACACAGCACAGTCTGGTCTTGCGTGATGTTCTGTGAACGAGACCAACGCTGGAAAATTCTCGGGCAGATACTTGAAGTTTGACCACACCGAGTCACAGGAAAGGACTTCATAAAGTACACTCACGTGTGTGAGATGTCTGCATCCCTGCCTGGCCTTTGAAGGACAAGATGTCATATAGACAGCATTAGGCCAAAGTGAGGCCGATGAACTAGTGAGCTGTAAACTTCAAATTGTACAAAATCATACCAAAAGCAAGTATAAAACGCTATTGAAATGCAGCAACGTGAACCCCCTTAAGTCTGTCCTCGCCCATTAAGGGGAGGAAGAAGAAGGCAGCCCAACTGAGGCTTTGCTGGCTGGGCCGGCTGACCTGACCTGCCTGGTCCCTGGGCACAGGTACACTGGCTCAGGACGCTGGGGAATTTTATCTGCGCTGTTCTGACTTGCACAATGCAACAGCTGAGTTAATTTGACAGCAAAGTAATACTAAGCCCCCAAAATAAAATTACTGAGATGTAAAACAGCGTCAAAATTCCAATTAGGTTTGTATCCTTGAAGCTTCTGGAGGAATCTAAAAGGCTCCCGTCACGATGAGCAGGCATCAGTTTAAGCTGTACAGATTCCTAAAATGTCACCCTCTAATTGAATTGCTCAGAGCACAATATGACAAAAAGAATCAGAGGAAAATAAGTGAATTTTCCCCCCTCAAAAAAAAAAAAAAAAGACTCAGTACAGAGACTGCTCTGTTCACGTTTAGCACAACATCCCTTGGCAAGACTAGAAACACCTTTGCAGAGGTCCCAACAGGAAAGGCACGGGCAGGCAGGGAGAGCGCGTGCTGGTGGCATCGGCCCCGGAAGGAACACTGCCACCGTGCGACGTTTAACAGTTGACACCTCTTGGCCTGCATGCATTCAGAGTATGTTTACGACTTCCACTGAGAAGGTGAAAACTCCCTCCACACTTGGGGTTCTCAATGGAACCCGAACGCTGTCACCAGCATGAGCAGAAGTGTCTCGATGCCCGGCTCACACCCATCTCTTTCTCGAGCTACCCCAGTTATCCTGAGAGTGCTCGCCGCCTCAGACAAAGCCCTCAGCTCACTAACGGAGGAAAGCCGCCTGGACTCTGGGGCCGCTTTTCCACCCACGTGTGGGTCGTGGTGCTCTTCGCTCATGCCAGTACATTGGAGTGAGTCCTGAGGGGAGTGGCACGGGACACCGTGGGAGGCACGACCTGGCCATTGCGTATGCTGAGCCTTCTTGGACCTTGCCACCTTTGCCCCAGCGGCCACCATGTCAACAAGAGCAAGGTGTGCTCAGGGGAGCTGGGGAGGGGGTGTCGAGTTGGAGGTTTAGAGTTGGTTGGAATTGGCTTGGAAAGGACCCAGATGGCTGTCCTAATACGTACACAGGGTTGGTCCTCCTGCAGGCATGATGCCATTTCCTGGGGAAACATCTTGGGCATCGGTCTCTCTTCGGAAAATCATATCTCAATGACTAATCGGTCTTCATCATCACTGCTGGTGTCACTGAAAGCCACCCGATTCTGATTCCTCATTCCTTCCAAACTCCTCTTCTTGATGGATCTAGATGTAGCTTCAGGAATTTCTGTGGGCTGCCCTGGGTTGGAAGAAACCACACTATCCTTCAGAATGGTTAACCCAGATACCTGACATTCCCCGCTGCTGTTTCCCAACAGGGCACAAGAGATGGCTGTCTCCCCACAACCATGTGAGCCCCTGGGAGGAAGAAATGCCTCGTGTCTCTCTTCCTCTTGGTGTGAGCTCGTTGCATTTGGTTGTGAAACTGATATTTCAAGATGAGCTTTTCCAGTTGACCCCAATGGACTTGGACTTGAAACTCTTTGTCCAGATAAAGGTGTTCCTGGCAACAGTGCCTGTGATGTACCCTCTGCAGTAGCTTTTCTGTCTGGAGAGCTGTGTGCCAGGGACTCTTCTGCAGCCCGCATGTGGTCTTGTGGCTTTTCAATATGCATTCCCAGGGCCGGGTGGCCTGCTCGTGGCCCCACAGAAGTGCGCACAGCAGCTGCAGAGGTAGTGATTTCATTGTGGGGAAAAGTTCCTTTGAAGCCAAAGGAAGAAGGCTCTTGAGCATGTGAGAAAATGCTCGGTTTGGGATCTACCGGGACTTGATCCCGGGAGGGCAGCCCCTCAGCCTCCACTGATCCAACACAGAGACCTTCGCTGTGGGGTGGAAGGCTGGCGATGGCCCCTGTGAAGCAGGTGTCGGATGGCGGGGATAGTCCTGACCTGGCAGCAGCAGCGTAGCAAGGAGAACAGTCACCCCCCTCACCGGTAGATGGAGAAGTTTCCTGCAACAAAGTGCAAAGGAAAAGAAACAGGAAGGAGCAGAGGTTAATTGGTACCAAAAAAGCGGTGTTCAGAGACGTGGTCCTCAATGAGAACGAGGTCCTGACGGTTCTGCACTGAGCGTGAGCACCAATGTGATGCTCTCATGAGCTTCCATTAATAACTAATTGGTGCATTAACTCCACTCAATCTCCTGACCGATACAAAGAGGTCGCTGAGATTGCTACGTGTTTCTATCTGACTTTGTTAAAAACAAAATCGCTCAATTATCCAGCCAGTCCTGGGCTTCCTATTCTGAGTAGCTGCTCACGGAGCAGATGTACCAGTTTCTAGTACTGTGTATGAAAGTCTGTCCCAGACCAGAACTTTCCAACCATGGCCTGGATCAGTACTTCCGTGGTGCTGAACAGGCAGCCCTGCCATCTGTCTGGGGAAGATGCCATGTCACCGTGACGTCTAAAGTAGGCAGCTTCCTTCTCTACCCTGTCAGGTGAATCCATAACATACTTCAGATTATTTTTTTAAAGATTCTTTTACTATCAGGTGTGTGCGTTTGCTGGAGAAAGAGAGGGAGAGAGAAAGTGAGAAATCACGCCCCAGGGGGATGGCCATGTTACAGTCCCTTCTCCTTCACTCTTCTCTCGGGATTTTGGTCATGTATGTACACTTGCCTGGTGTGTTTTCCAGGACGCTGGGTCTGAGACATGAGCCACAAGGGCAGCCATGTGGGATCCAGCCCGGTACCCACCACGCCACCTGCTGGCCCCATCCTTAGGAGTAGAATAAACCATCAGAAAGCATCCCAATGGTTTCACAAAGTCCCACTCCTGCAGTGCAGAATGTGTGAAGGCATTTGTTTACTGGGCCTTTCCTGTTACGATCTCCAGTGGGTGATCATCCACATGGGACAGAAAGAGCGAGAAAGGTGAGCTGGAAGCCGGGGCACAGGAAGGTCGGACGGCTCAAAAGCACAGCTCTCACCTTCACGGTCCCTTCTTCCGTGTCCCTGACAGTCCGTGAGCTTGTCCTAGGAGAGGTTCCTGAGGCTGCTCTGCAGCCGTTGTCCTTCTTGGCATTCCCACTGCCAAGAGCCAATTCCGAGGTGGCACCAGGGGGCTCTCCCAGTGGACTTGGACCTGAAAGGGGCGGCATGTTATGCACGTCTGGAATTATAAACTCAGCAGAGCAACTTCCCAGGAGCTTGTCCATGTCTTGGGACACCCCTGAGCTCAGGAGCTTTCCCCTCGAATGGAGCGCAAGAGAGCTTGATTTTACCTCCAGCCAGTTCACGCCTGGATGAATAAAACATCTCCCCTCTGCTACAGAAAGAGATAGCAAAACCAATGTCCAAAGTAGAAAAAAACCTAAATTGCATGTGTTTAAAATCTTTCATGTGATTTTCTTTTCACTGGAGTCATTCTCCTGGCCAGACCTGTTTAGGTTACTTCTAGACCAGTTTAAATTCTCCGGCCAACCGGGTGACAGAGGAGACAATTCGCTCTAGACCTTGTAGAATGGGCACCGAGAGCCAGCCCCTTCTGCGTGACTGCCTGCCGGGGGTCATCACTGTGGCCGTGGCGGGCAGGAAGCAAAGGACCCTGAAAGTGCCCATGAGTCCGCCTCCCTCCGCTGTCTTTCCCTCACCCCTCAGTTTGCTCTCTCCACTTCCCGTGGCAGCCTGGGGTGCAGACCACAAGGACCACAGAACCTCCGAGAGTGGGCCACATCGTGAGGCGAGGTCCCGAAAGCATTGCAGGCCACCGGGTGTCAGAAGCAGCATTAGGACCCACTGTTAAACTTGCTTTTATTCTGATTGAAGTCATGCGTGCACTGAGTTTGAAAAGTCAAACTTCTTACTAAGGAAGACAGCGCCTCCTGCCCGCCCAGCGAGCCCCCTCTTCCCCGGGGAACGTTCTTGCTATTCCTCCTTCCTGCCCAGCAATAAGCACTCAGTGCTACTTCCTGATCTTTCATTGCCAGTGTGGCGCCTCGCCCATGACGTCCCACAGCAGACAGGTGGGCCTAGCTCTCCTTCCAGCTCCTCTTCCCCACCCCTTGCCGCACCCCACAGGTGTGCACACTTGTCCCCTCCCCGCCATGCTCGCCTAACTCCCAGTGGACTTTCAGTGTCCCGTTACGGTGTCTAGGCTCCTCCTGTGCACAGACACGCCTCGACTCAACCGCACTGCTTTGCTGGCTAACACTGTGCGTCTAGAGAGGAGAGCACTTTCTTCCGTTTGCTTAGGTTCTCTATGGACCTGATTCCTGAAATTATCCCCCAGCCTCCTAGGTTGTCTAAAGTTGCCTTTAACATCCTTAGACCAGCCGGCGTGAAACCGCCTCATGGCACGAGTGGCCCGGCACACGGCTGTGCTTCCGGGTCCTCCCTTCACCACCGTGGCCTTTCTCCTCACCCCTTTCTTGGTTCCTGGACCTCCACAGCCTGTGCTGTTGTTAATGCTCTTGCTTTGCTAACACAAAACTTCTGGTAGCTTCGTGAGAAAGGATGCATGAAGTAAAACTGTTCACGCTGTTGATGGCAGCTGGTCTGGGTAGAGCATTCCGAACTGGAAGTCATTCTCCTTCAGAATTGAACTTGTGGCTCTGGACAACTAGCTGTCGGCAAGTCTGGCGCCGACATGACTGCGATTTACGGTTTACGGTTTACGGTCCTCTGGGGAAAGCC